ATCAATAATCCAAAAGCCCATATCTCAGATTTACTTCAGCAGCGCACTTTTGTAAAGTTGAAATCCCCAGCAACGGATACTTTAAGAGTATTTCTGAGGTAAAGATAGCACCTTTTACTCATGAATGCTTTACAAACTTCTCAACTCTAAACGGTCCTTGTTTTCTTCTAATAAATGTTCTTTAAAATGAATTGTAACTATATACTTTTTACTAAAAACTTCCTGTAGCAAACTCTTTATTCAAAAATGTATGTTCTTTTAGTAAAGCCCTTTGACTCTTTGCTCTCGGCTATTTTTGTTTGCTTTAAAATGTAGAGTGGACAAAGCTGCAATTAAATTAAAAATAGTGAATGATATTTGCAGAATAATTACTCTAAAATCTTACCATTAGTCTTTAATTTCAGTTTAGACTCGGCCCTTTTATTTATTCTAACGAATATTATGTGCAAACAGTAAACATTTTTTGACAACAGCAAAACTACGGCTCACTCCAGGCTTGCCAATATTTCAAAATATTTAGGGATATAAACAAAGTGTGGTCCGAATTTAGCAAGGACGTCGTACCCTAATCCACAATGTTTAAAATAAACCATTCACACAATATTATTTCTCTTTATAATTCAAATAAAATCGTGTTTTTTGACCGTTGCCTCCCTCCTGGGAGAACTGGGTGCTTTGAAGAAGGGTGATTATGTTAGTGGTAGATGCCCTAGATATCGGAGGGTGCCCGAATCGTATTTATATTTCTCACCTGTCAACTGTCACTTTTTTATGACGTTTTTAAAATTTATTTTTGCTTTTTCGATGGTTTATTACAAACGAATAATTTTTTTGTTATTTTTCCTAAACACCCTTTGCTTTTCTCTAACTTGCTACGCACAAAAAAATTTCCTCGTGCGCCACTTTTTTTCGGCCAAATTTCGTATTAAGGGTTTCCGGGCGACTTTAAAAAATCATATCTCAAGAACGGGTCAAGCGATTTGAAAGATATTTGGTCCGAACGTTTAAACCCACGGGACGCTTCTAAAAAAAAATCGGCGTGAAAATCTGTTTGGCGGTTTCCATGGTAACGGTGAAAATGCACCGAAAATCGTGTTTTTTGACCTTTGCCTCCCTCCTGGGAGAACTGGGTGCTTTAAATAAGGGCGATCATGTTAGTGGTAGATGTCCTAGATATCGGAGGGTGCCCGAATCGGTATTAAATTTTTCGTCTGTCAACTGTCATTTTTTTTATGACGTTTTTAAAATTTCTTTTTGCTTTTTCGGTGGTTTATTACAAACGAATAATTTTTTTATTATTTTTCCTGTACACCCTTTGCTCCTATCTAATTCGCCACGCACACAAAAATTTCTTCGGGCGCCTTTTTTTTTTGGCCAAATTTCGTATAAGAGATTTATGGACGAAACATCCCGCCAGCGTCCCCGAAGGGGTCGCTGCACAATATCTAATCATTATTTATATATTTTCTCGGGCGTCAGTTTTTTTGGTCGAATTACGTAGTAGAGATTTCTGGACGAAACATCCCGCCAGCGTCCCCGAAGGGGTCGCTGCACAATATCTAAACATTATTTATATATTTTCTCGAGCGTTAATTTTTTTTTTTTGGCCAAATTTCGTATAAGAGATTTCTGGACGAAACATCCCGCCAGCGTCCCCGAAGGGGTCGCTGCACAATATCTAATCATTATTTATATATTTTCATGCTATCCGCGTCCTCTATTAATTCTATCGAAATATTTACTTTTACCTCTTCCTAAGAGAAGAAGTAACAGGCGTTTCCCCAATTCTCTTCTTCTTCAACTTTCCCGTTTTTTCCTCTAATTCTATCGAAATATTTACTTTTACCTCTTCCTAAGAGAAGTAACAGGCGTTTTCCCAATTCTCTTTTTTTTTTCTTTAACTTTCCCGTTTTTTCCTCTAATTCTATCGAAATATTTACTTTTACCTCTTCCTAAGAGAAGTAACAGGCGTTTTCCCAATTTTCTTTTTTTTTTCTTTAACTTTCCCGTTTTTTCCTCTAATTCTATCGAAATATTTACTTTTACCTCTTCCTAAGAGAAGTAACAGGCGTTTTCCCAATTCTCTTTTTTTTTTCTTTAACTTTCCCGTTTTTTCCTCTAATTCTATCGAAATATTTACTTTTACCTCTTCCTAAGAGAAGAAGTAACAGGCGTTTCCCCAATTCTCTTCTTCTTCAACTTTCCCGTTTTTTCCTCTAATTCTATCGAAATATTTACTTTTAACTCTTCCTAAGAGAAGAAGTAACAGGCGTTTTCCCAATTATCTTTTTTTTTTCTTCAACTTTCCCGTTTTTTCCTCTAATTCTATCGAAATATTTACTTTTACCTCTTCCTAAGAGAAGAAGTAACAGGCGTTTCCCCAATTCTCTTCTTCTTCAACTTTCCCGTTTTTTCTACAAATTCTATCGAAATATTTCCCTCCTTCCCTCCTTCCCCTTTCCCCCCCCCAATTCTCTTCTTCAACTTTCCCGTTTTTTCTACAAATTCTATCGAAATATTTCCCCCTCCTTCTCTCCTTCCCCTTTCCCCCCCAATTCTCTTCTTCAACTTTCCCGTTTTTTCTACCAATTCTATCGATATATTTCCCTCCTTGCCTCCTTCCCCTTTCCTCTCCCTATTTTCTTCTTTAACTTTCCCGTTTTTTCTACCAAATCTATCGAAATATTTCCCTCCTTCCCTCCTTCCCCTTTCCCCCCCCAATTCTCTTCTTCTTCAACTTTCCCGTTTTTTCTACCAATTCTATCGAAATATTTCCCTCCTTCCCTCCTTCCCCTTTCCCCCCCCCCCTTTACTTACAATATCGAAAAAAAAAAAAAAAAAAAAATTTAACCAATTGTTACGACTTTTACTTCCTCTAAATGATCAAGTTTGGTCATCTTTTCGAAGCATCGACGACGCCGAAACGCCACCGCGCTCAGTCCGAAGACCTCACTAAATCATTCAATCGGTAGTAGCGACGGGCGGTGTGTACAAAGGGCAGGGACGTAATCAACGCGAGCTTATGACTCGCGCTTACTGGGAATTCCTCGTTCATGGGGAACAATTGCAAGCCGCAATCCCTAGCACGAAGGAGGTTCAGCGGGTTTCCCGGGCCTCTCGGCCAGGGAGGACACGCTGATTCCTTCAGTGTAGCGCGCGTGCGGCCCAGAACATCTAAGGGCATCACAGACCTGTTATTGCTCAATCTCGTGCGGCTAGAAGCCGCCTGTCCCTCTAAGAAGAATTTTTTGTACGCCGACAGTAAAAACCGCGCGCAGCCGGAGCCGAAACTCCAAACCGGCGGGCCTTTGGGATGTCGAAATACGCCTAGTTAGCAGGCTAGAGTCTCGTTCGTTATCGGAATTAACCAGACAAATCGCTCCACCAACTAAGAACGGCCATGCACCACCACCCGCCGAATCAAGAAAGAGCTCTCAATCTGTCAATCCTTCCGGTGTCCGGGCCTGGTGAGGTTTCCCGTGTTGAGTCAAATTAAGCCGCAGGCTCCACTCCTGGTGGTGCCCTTCCGTCAATTCCTTTAAGTTTCAGCTTTGCAACCATACTTCCCCCGGAACCCAAAAGCTTTGGTTTCCCGGAAGCTGCCCGCCGAGTCATCGGAGGAACGTCGGCGGATCGCTAGCTGGCATCGTTTATGGTTAGAACTAGGGCGGTATCTGATCGCCTTCGAACCTCTAACTTTCGTTCTTGATCAATGAAAGCGTTTTTGGCAAATGCTTTCGCTTCTGTCCGTCTTGCGACGATCCAAGAATTTCACCTCTAACGTCGCAATACGAATGCCCCCATCCGTTCCTATTAATCATTACCTCGGGGTTTCGAAAACCAACAAAATAGAACCGAGGTCCTATTCCATTATTCCATGCACACAGTATTCAGGCGAAGTTTTAGCCTGCTTTAAGCACTCTAATTTGTTCAAAGTAAACGTGCCGGCCCACCTCGACACTCAATGAAGAGCACCGCGGCGGGATTGAGTTGGGCCGCCCTTGCGAGCTAAGCCCACCGGCAGGACGTCCCGCGACACGCCAGTTGACACCGCGTACGATGAACCAGCGGCGCGGGACACAGATTCGACTACGAGCTTTTTAACCGCAACAACTTTAATATACGCTATTGGAGCTGGAATTACCGCGGCTGCTGGCACCAGACTTTTTCTGTCAACTGGATTATGCATTCCGTGACGTCACAGCCATCCTTAGTAACGGACACGGTAACGGACGACGAGGCCACCGTGGTATCCATGAACCGTGGGTTATGACAGGCTATGATATGGCAAACCTGTACGCCTGGTGATTTGACAGGATCAATGAAATAGATTGTTATATAGATTAATCATCCATGTTTTTCAAAATAGACATAAACTTATGCCTCAAAGTAAAAATGTAGATAATTATTTTTTTACTATATTCAAAGGTTGAAAATTGGTTTGTAAACACATTTTTGCTAAACTGATTCTGATTAATGAGCATTTGCGAGGCAATATGGCCACTCGTAAACGACCCGCTTTGAGCTATCTATATAACTATGACCCTGTCAATGACGACAGGCCCACAGTGTTGTCATATCTAAACTGTCAGTTCCCACTTGTCAGCATTTTGACAGATCGTTGGAATGCCTAATTAGGCATTCCACTGACCTGTAAAACAATAGCTGCCAGTAGAATGGGCTCGTATATAAATATTTTTATTTTTAAAAATTTCGAATTTGATTTAAACAATTTTAATTTATAATAAAAAATGTTAAACAAAATAATGATGATTTAGCAAGGTGGGTTCCTCCAAAATTTAATGTTTGGATACACGATAACGACTGACATTATTGGAAGTCTTTTGACCGACAATAAGCACTGAAGATGGTGTAAATCCGAAATGGATTTACATTTTTTAAATAAAATAATTTTTGCACAAAATACAATTGTTCTGTGTTAATAAAAATTGCTGAAAGAGGTGAGGCAATCAGTCGTCAGTATATATTAACGTTTTCAGTTCCTGGCAAACCTACAAACATTACATACAAATTCGTTGAATGTCCACTAAATACTGAATATTGTCATTTAAATATTACTTGGCTACATCCTTACTATCAGAATGGCACAATTACATCTTTTGAAATAATTTTAAATGGTACAGACAAAAGAAAAGATGCTGAAAACGATAAATACATTCATGAGGTCTATAATGTTGAAAATAAAACGTATTATTATGATTATACTTACCAGGTGAGCAGTTTTAATTTTGATTCTTACACTGTAAATTTTCGTAATATTCCTAGATTAATAAAAATATATCTGCCTGCAAAAATATTTGGCTGAATGTCTTCTGATTTGATATCCCTTGAAAATTAACTATGTTTTCTTTTTTTAGATCAAATATTTGCCATACAACAGTTATTACAACCTTTATTTGAGCTCTGCAAATTCGGCTTTTAAGAGTGAATTTGCTGAAATACAGATTAAAACAGATAATATTGGGGATCACATTGATCAGAGCCCCAAACTTATAGCGAAAAGTCACTCAACATTGTTATTTAAGATCCCTCATTTGGATAGTAGATTACAATTTTTTACATTGACTGTTGTGGTGCAAGATTATGACAAGGCTAGAAAAATCGATAAGGAATTGTTAAAGAATAAAAAAATTGCTGATAATCTGTGTCATCTCTATGGCGATGCTTGGATTTCTCAAGTTGTTAAAGTTAGTATATATACTTTTATTTGGTAAGATGCATTTTTACTTTCCTATCTGTATACAGAAATACCACAACGAATAAAAACGAATAAAAACGAATAAAAACGAATAAAAACGAATAAAAACGAATAAAAACGAATAAAAACGAATAAAAACGAATAAAAACGAATAAAAACGAATAAAAACGAATAAAAACGAATAAAAACGAATAAAAAAGAATAAAAACGAATAAAAACGAATAAAAACGAATAAAAACGAATAAAAACGAATAAAAACGAATAAAAACGAATAAAAACGAATAAAAACGAATAAAAACGAATAAAAACGAATAAAAACGAATAAAAACGAATAAAAACGAATAAAAACGAATAAAAACGAATAAAAACGAATAAAAACGAATAAAAACGAATAAAAACGAATAAAAACGAATAAAAACGAATAAAAACGAATAAAAACGAATAAAAACGAATAAAAACGAATAAAAACGAATAAAAACGAATAAAAACGAATAAAAACGAATAAAAACGAATAAAAACGAATAAAAACGAATAAAAACGAATAAAAACGAATAAAAACGAATAAAAACGAATAAAAACGAATAAAAACGAATAAAAACGAATAAAAACGAATAAAAACGAATAAAAACGAATAAAAACGAATAAAAACGAATAAAAACGAATAAAAACGAATAAAAACGAATAAAAACGAATAAAAACGAATAAAAACGAATAAAAACGAATAAAAACGAATAAAAACGAATAAAAACGAATAAAAACGAATAAAAACGAATAAAAACGAATAAAAACGAATAAAAACGAATAAAAACGAATAAAAACGAATAAAAACGAATAAAAACGAATAAAAACGACTAAAAACGAATAAAAACGAACAAAAACGAATAAAAACGAATAAAAACGAATAAAAACTAATAAAAACGAATAAAAACGAGTAAAAATGAAATAAAATGACTTAAAATGACTTAAAATGAATAAAAATGAATAAAAATGCATAAAAATCAATAAAACTAATAAAAAATTTTAAAAAAGGAAGTCCTGTATTTTTTTATATTAATAACACGACTACATGCGAGCAAAGTCGCGAGCAAAGCCGGTGGGCAACAGCTAGTAAAATATATTGTTGTTCTTATTATTTTTACGAAGTGGATCATAAAGAGTGTAACTGAAGTATCTATTAAAAAATGCTTAACATTTTTAAACAAGTACTTTTATTTTTATTTATTTACATTTTATTTTTTAGGTTGATAGCAGCAATAAGACTGAAAACGTAATGATAGGTAATGCCGAAAAAGAGCGACTTCAGCCAAACAAAAAGTATTGCATAATTTTTATAATCACGAATCAATATAAAGGCTCAGAACACGACGTAGTTTATTATGAAATATTAAAGATGATGGACGCTGAGCCTCAACAGAAAGAAGCTACGTCTGGAAGTGTATCTAATCATTTGTATATGTTGTTGTTCATTCTTCTTGTGATTCCAGTGGGTTTTTTGCTTTATAGGTAATTTAATATCAATTTTAGGCATTACCTGTTTGAATATTTTATAAGCTTACTGAGTAATAGAAGTCAGATAACTTAGATATTCCAATAATGTGACTAATAGAATTAGAAGTTTTATTTTGTTAACTAGTTTTTTTAAACACAATACCACGGTTTTCATTGCGTATTTTTGCAGCTCGATGTTCAATTTAGTTTGAACCTTATTATTTAGTACCACGATGATGAAGTAGTATTCTAATAAATAATACTCCAACATTATTTCCACTTTGTATTCTTTAAAATTTCAAACAAAACAGAAATGGACGTTACCTTGAATTTATTTGTATCTTCAGTTTCACCTCTTGATATGTCCTGAACCTCTGAACAATATCGATTGTGCAATAATTCGTCTAGCGCCAGATATTCAGTTTTATAAGTCAATGGCTGCATTTTGTAAGGTTCTGTCATGTTGATGTATAGTGAACATCGGTGGTCGAGGAGTTGTCGGTTTTTTACACACAGATCACCGATCTCCTACAGTTTATATTTGAATGTGTTAGGTACCGTAAACTGGGGTGAAGTCGGACAATATTTTGCGTTTTTTTAAGATACTGCAATCAATTTTACCTCCAAAATTATCCAAAAATTCATTAAGTTAGATCTGGGCACTACTAACGATATGGGCTATTTATAGTTTGCAAAAAAAATCAAGAACATATTTTTTTTTGTGAAAAATGAGTGTCCAACTTTCCCCGCAAAGTGGTGTGAAGTTGGAACTGGCTTTAAATGTACATAAAATCAACTACCGAAGTCTATATAAGTAGAGTTGGACAAGAAAAAGCATTTTTTAAAAATATAACACTAATTTAAATACTTAAAAAAATAAAAATGCTGTTAAGAGTACAAATATTTTATTCTAAATGAAACAAAACTTGAAAATATTTTTTTTCTCTAAAACAAGTTAACAAAAAGCAAACTACAAAAGAAAGGAACTTAAAAAAAGTTTAGATCTTGATTGAAGCGCCTAAGAAGCGCCTACCCTATAAAATCATAATTGAGATCTTCTCGGAACTGGATGCGATTTGTTCTCAAGTCAATGGGATTTCTTAACAAAATCTTGATATCTTCGTTGTAAACTATTGATCTATCGGGAACATCTGGATAAACAAAGTAGTAATAATTACCCCTGCATACCTTTTTAGAAAATTTATTTCTTAGGAAGTTTATAGTACAAAAGTCCCCATGGATATCTTCAATTTTTCCAACAAAGTTTAAATTTCTTTTATTGGCCTCGAACTTAACAACAACAAATTGGTCCTTTTGAAACACAGTATTATTAGGAACAGAAGGTTTTACAGCCCTATTTTTATTGAGAGCATCACTGTTATTTTCGTCATCACCACTACTTTCAGCATTATTTACTGAAACTTGATCTGAGTCCACGCCCTCTTCTGATTTAGCATCATTGTTTGTTGGAACTTGATCTAAGTCCTCGTTCTCGTCTGATTCAGAAATGAATGTTGAAGCTTCTTCATCAGATTCGTCATCTTCATCATTATTAGGAAATTATACACTTCTACCTGGTACAATGGAAAGCTTTTTTCCCCTCGGTTTTCTTGTAGAAGACGTCGAAGTAATATTGTCTTTAAAAAAACTAGTAAAACTGTCAGACCAGTTCGTTTCTACAATGGTATTGTCATTAACGGGTGTATAGTGCGCTAATTTTTTTAAAACTTTGTCTGGGTTGGGGTGGTATGATTCCGCATGCTGCAAATCCAGCCTTAACGTTATCGGCAGAGCGAAGACTTATTTTTTTAAATGTCTTGGACAGCAAAGATGGGAAATCATTTTTGGGAAAAACGCCTCTATTCTTAGTTTTCCACTCTCTAAGAACAGAGCGCCACGCTTCTTTCATTGGTCTAAAATAAGAGACATCAAGTGGCTGGCAGAGGTGTGTGGAATTTGGTGGGAGAAGTGTAAATTCAATGTTATTGTCCTTACATTTCTTGATCACTGATACAGAGACATGGCTTGAAAGGTTGTCACCCAAAAAAAATTTTTTACCTTGGAGCTTAGAAAAATACGGCAAGGCTATTTTATTAAACCAATCTTCAAAAGAAAATTGGTCAAACCAGCCACTCTTGCTTCTATTATACACATCACCTTGGGGCCCATTTTCAATCCATGTTGGATACAAATGTTGTGCCCTATACACGACATATGGCGGGAGAACATGGCCAGACCCTGCAGCAGCAATCATAACAGAAATACTAATTTTGGTCCATAATACGGTCGCAATGTTTTGCTCCTCTTTTGGCAATAACTGTAACTTTTCCCGGATCATCTGAAAAGTTGGTCTCGTCATAGTTGACCACATTTTCGGGAGGGACATTTTCAATTAAATTGTGAAGCTCTTTAAAATAATTTTGAATCACAGTCGATGTCACTTCTGCTCGCGCACGTTTCATATTTTGTGACAGATAATTCATTATGTCTGTTTAGAAAATTTTTTGACCACTCATATCCAGGAACGTTGTTATGAAAAATATTAATGGTCTTCCCAGTTCGATCTAAGTAAGACTTCACAATAAGCCTAACATCTCTGGTAGTAAGTGGAAAATTCCATTTTGCTGCCGTCATAATGCCTTCGCTTAATATTGATTCCTCAGCTGCAGATAGGACTGTTTGGCCGCCATAATTTTTTTCGCATTTAATTCCCTTTAAGTGATTGTAAATTGTAGACTTAGGAATATAATATTTTTCAGCTGCCTTCCTAAGATTTAGCCTCTTTGATCTTACATCTTGAACTGCCTTGCGCAAATTTTCTTTTAAATAATTTGACTTTGGTGGCACTCCTAATTTCCGTTTATAAGTCCGAACCATTTTGTCCAAATTGCCCCTACAAAATATTTTTTTTAATGTTACGCCACTGGCATCACTATATTTAATAAATATGCGGGTAGTACTTTTACGGTTTGTTTCTAACATAATAACGAAATATAAACACAAATATCACTATCCTATTATTGTCCATACGTCAGGTACAATAGTTATAAAACAGAATTTCAAAACACAAAAAAAATTCCTATTATATTTACGTAAAAATATGAATTACTTACCGCTAGTAGATCTACCTCTCCTGTCGGCATAAACTATACTAAATTCTCCGAGCATTGCTCGGAGACTAAAGGTTTGTTCTGGTTCTCAAAATGAAAACTGTTTTGAAACTGCGCCGGACCGTATGCGTAAAGGCAAAAAATCCCCGACTGTTTGAAATTCTTGGAAAACCAGAACACGTCATGAAGGTGTTTTGTTTATTGTTTATTATAATAATGAAGTTCCTTTTGAAAGCTCAGCTTCAAATAACATTTGCATGTATATGTTTATCATTATCATCACATTTCAATGGAATAAATAAAAATAGAATATTAAAAAATTAATAATTCTAAAATTGCTTTAATTTACAAATAAAATAAGAACAAGAGACATTCGTCCACATATAAATAAACAATTTGGGATTGTTGATTGTATGGTCTAAAAAGCCAATACAATATTCATAACACTTCAAAAACGCATGCGCGGTCAAAACAGTCCGAGTCGATCCACACTCCCAAGCATGAACACTTTTTGACTGTTTACAACAATCACGGATTATTTCGGATACGAAACCAGAACACTGGACTGAGAGATCCGAAGTAGTCCCAGAAAAACCAGAACACTTTTTATCTACTGCGCATGAGCCCGACAGTTGTGGATCGTTATTTCTCAAAACCAGAACAGACCTTAAATCATACCAAAAACGATTTGACGTGTTTGGCGTCTCAAGGCCAAGTCATCGCCTTACGACAGGGCCGGATTAAGAAATACTACACATTGTCCAACTTTCCCCGCACTGTCCAACTACACCCCAGTTGACGGTACTAAGAAGCAATTCTTGAAGAATCTATAATGGCGGCGAGGACTAACGATCAAGCGTTTGAATTTATAGAACTGTGTCAGGGTGATCCAACGATTTAGAAACATAAATATCACATAATACCTAAATTCAAACGGTTGATCGATAGCCCACGCCGTTGTTATAAATTCCTCAAGAATTGCTTTTTAGTACCTACCACATTTAAATTCAAATTGAGAAATCAGCGATCGTGTGGACACACAAAAACAACTACTTACAGAGGATTAGCCATTGATCTGTGTGTAAAAAAACTGACAACTTACCGATTACCGACGATCACTACCAATCATGGCCGATCACCGATAAATAAGCCCTCCACATGGTGGTCCTCGCATGTTATCGTAAATAATGGCAGATCGTGTATAGGGCAAATAATAATAGTAACGATAAAACCCAAACTTCACCCGCAAAAGCTCTGCTTCCTGGGGTTCACACGTGAATGTGAATTGTTTAACATGTCAGTATGCAATACTACAAAGAAGTTGAACAGTCTCAGTTTCATTTTTTACTTGGTTTGCCTTTGGGTTCCCCAATTCCTTCATATTCTTGGACTATTGTGTTAGGTACTAATGGTTTCCATTCCCTTATTTTAAAGAGGTACGGTAAAAACATGATTCAATTTTGATTTCTAGGCCAGTGCATAAATAAATTTTTATTCGAGAAAAACTGGTTCTGTGGATTAGCGTTTAGCTTCAGTATAATAGTAGCAAACAACGTTGCGTAATTTGAGCCTTCATTTCCCTCTCTAAAAATTTCGTTTCTCAATTTAATTTTTTTTTATAAAATTATTTTGCAAATTGTTTTGTATAATCTGATAAAAAATGGGGCTCGCTATAATTTATAACATAGATTTTTAATTATTAAAATATTTTAACAATACATTTCTGCAGAAAGCTTATAAAATATTTAAGTCTGAATAAATAGCAAATAATTCATTTTCTTATGTACCTAATATTTTTTTTATATATAATAATTACCTCTTAATTTCTAATATCTAGTCATACATTTTTGAAAATATGTATAAAAACATATTGCAATAGTCTAAATAGCTTATGAAATTAATATG